GATTTAAAGCTTATTTGCCTTAGAGAATAAAGAGAGAAAAATGCTTCTTGAGAGAAGATTTCCTAAAAAGAAAATTTTCAAAAAATCAGTGATGAACGGGTGAGAGTTTTTTTTTCAATAATTTCATATATTATTGAAGCATTATAATCAAGATTGCCAAAAATACACTGATGGAAATATAGAACTATTAAACAAAATATGTTAATTAGCATTGTTATCATTTGATATTTCAGAAAGGAAACCAAGTATTACTTTCTTTAAAGAATTTTAATAATCCTATCAATTGGAATTATTCTATAAAAAGTTGATACCAAGATTTGTTAGACCTTATATAATCACTAAGATAATCTTGAAAATTACATACAAGTTGGAATTGCCTATCACTCTGAAGATTTATCCTGTGTTTCATGTCTTATTACTCAAGCCATATAAGTTATTACCAGAAAAATTAGAAAAACAATTATTACCATTAGTTATATACAGTATATCCCTAAAACTAAGACAAAAAAATATAAATAGAAGCTATCCTGGACAAGCAAATTGTTTGAAACAAGCCATAGTATTTTATCAAATGAACCAGATATCTCTTATATAATGCCACCTGGAAATCCTAAAAAAATCTTGCCAATATTTAAGAGAAACTTCAAGAATTTGAGTTGATAAGAATATTGAATTCTAAGGAAAGAAGAATATAACAATCTTAATCTATAATTGTATTACAGGATTCATACTGTACCAGGCAATCTGAATATCCCAAAAGATATCTGATTTGTTTCTGACAATCTACAAGTCTAAGATATGTTTCCAAATAATTACCAGATATATATATACTGTAATTTTGATTCTAACAATATGCTATATTATCAAAATACTATTAATTAATTACTATGAATTAATATAACTAAATTAGGAGCATAGAGCCATAGAGCATACATATGTTTATATTATTTTCTTTTTATTTTCTTTTATATTTTCTTATATTAATTAAGTATATATGTTTTTGGAGGTTAAATCTTATATAGATATATGTATTTTTTTTTTTTTTTTTTTTAAGGGCCAAGTTGCGATATATGCATGGATTTTATTGTTAATCGATTAGGACCACAACTAATAGACATATGTATTTTTATATTTATTTATTTATATATTTTTATATTATATAAAGTTAACATGTATAAAAGAATGACATTTTGATCTTAATAAGGTTTTAATTCTGTTGGTATTAAAATAATAATTGCTCAAGTTTATTGTTTTTTAAAATCACTAATAATTTTATTAAAACTTTTACATGTCCTTATATAGTGTTAACATCTCTCTCAGCAAGTCTGTCACTTATTTGAAGTGCTTCTTGCATAATGTCAAGTAAGTGTTTGGTTTTTCTACTTGAGGCATGTGAATTGTTTAACCAAGTTCTACTAACACTTTTCTTCTTTTTCTATTGTTCACTTCTCGTGACAAATCTTTACCACTTTTTCCTTTATGGTTTCAGTTATCCTATTTCACGATAAGTACTGAATTAGGTAAGTTAATTAGAATTTACTTGATTAGGCAACAGTAGTTACACGTCCTAATTAAGAAGGTTTTAATTTAAGGAATAGTTTTTCTTATTATTTATACTACTGTTTTTTTTTCAGTCTCTTCTCTTTTTATCCTATCTCGTATATCTTTGTTAAGCTACAATTATATCATGTGATCCCTTAAGCTCTGATAGACTATTTATAATTAATAAGCTACTTAAATTTATAGCTAATTTAAGCTTTCTAAAATTACATCATGTTTTTATATGTTACTATAGACTATAAGTCATTGATTATTACAAATTAGAGTATGTGATGTGCCAGAACATGCTCATGTAGTCACATCCTATATCAGTTTCCCACCAACAATAGGATTGAACTGGTGTCTTGTAATTTAACTTATGAAGCACTAACCACTATACTATAGACCTATAGACTTATTATATTAATATATATATATATTTTAATTTCACAATTAGGTTAGTGTTATTTATTTATTTAATTAAAAACTAAATTATTACAAGTATAAGAATATTCGTAAAGTAAAAATTTTCTTGATCTACCTCATCCATTAATAGCTAAAGCCTCTATATGCAATTTATGAAAATAAAATATTGTTCTTCTGTTGAAAAATATTAAGATTCCAGTATTTCAATAGGATTATAACCTGCAGATCACCTCTGTAGTTATAATCATAAATTCAAATTGTGTCACACCCTTTGTAAAAACTATATAAGAAAAAAAGGAAATAAAAAAAGAAATGGGAAAGAAAAAACAGTACAATTGTGTACATAAGAAGCAATTGGAAAAAAAGTAAAAAAAGCTATCATCTATTTTAACTATCATTAAAAAGGTTATTTCAGTAAATTTAAAACTCATATCTCTCATAATTTTTCATTTTTTATCACTTGTGGTCAGCCTGACTATTTGATTTTTATTAAAGCAGTCTATGTCCAAAAATATTTAAGGATACTTTCAGGAGAATATTTCTTGAAACTTTATATTTAAAAACTTTTAACCAGAAAAGATATTGGTTTTCTATTGTTGATTTCTTTTTCAAATCATGTTTTTTTGAAATTATTGCTTTACTCTATTGGTAAATAGTTTCAAGACTCCTTTATTTAACTATTTTCAAGATAAATATTGATACTTTAATTTGTTATCAGATTGAGATAGGATCTAGATCTTGTTGCTATTTCCTGTTCTTAAAAAAGAATAGAAAAAGAAAAAAAAAAAACAAAGCAAAACAAAAAAAGAGTTTTTTTCTTTTCTATTTACAACTTTTGTTTTATCTAATACTTCTATACTATATTTTTAACTAAGAACTATTCAACTTTTTCAGAAACCAATTATATTATTAATTTGGAGTTGAACAATTGGAATGTAACAAATTCTGCTTATGTTATTAGTAAATACTTGTTAAATATCTTTTATAGTCTTTTTACTATTTAATAGCATAATAGAATATTTATTTCTTATATATAATTATATGACAAAATTAGATTTTTGCCCATGAACAATATTTATAGTTAATGAATATTATATAAATAAATAATAGCAAAAGTATTAAAAAAAAATTAATTTAGTACATTTTATAAATTGAGGAGAAAAATACTACTTCTATTGTATTCAAACACTTGTACAACCAATATATTTGAATAAAGACTTGTGTTGTCTTTTGTGTATTCAAAAACATTTTATAAACATATTTTTAAAAACAATTGTAGGTGTTATAGTCTTTACAAAGATTCCTTAAAAGAAAGATTACATGAATTTTATCTTCACTTTAAGTCATCTTTAGTATAAGATTTTAAAAAAACAATTAAATATTTGTCTTCCCAAATTTAATAGTAAAAAGACAGACAAATAAGATCTTTTTATATGGAAATATATAAGAAGTACATGTCTTGTTTACTTTTTCTATAGTTAATAAGGCGGCATTCATAAATAACATTATATTCGAAGGAAGGAGGGGTTCTAAATTGTATAACATTCTTTTGAGAGGAGAGGAACAAAATAATAATACAATTTTTGTCACATGATTATATGTTAAGAGTCAATCATGTATTTAATATCCTAAAATTCTATAAATATGTAATTATCATTCTAATACTAAGATTGTATCATTTATTAAGAATGTCATTAAGTACTTTGCCTATAATTATATAGTCTAAAAAAATCACAAAAATTCCCTCTCCATAAAGCAAAACACCTATCTATCTTCCAAAACAAGTGTCCTAAGAAAAACCTATGGTGATCCAAAATGTTATAATCCTTATTTGAGATCACCAAAGAAAAAATGACGACAAAGAAAGACAAGTAAATTAGCATTAAGCTTGAAGTAATAACATGCAATATGATACTTTTGTCAACCAGTATACTCACCTGCAATAAAATATTAGCCCTGAGAAACACCAATGCCAGGATGTTGAGTAATAATGGCAGGATTCTGATACCCAATGATGACAAAGAAGGCTTTGATATGAGAGAAGTCTTGAGTAAACTTAAAATAAATGGTAAGTTAGTGATTTGAGATAAGAAAGAAAGATGCCATGATAAAGAAAAACTGGACATTCATCCGGAAACCTACTATTATATCTTGTGATCAATGTAACTGAGAAATGCAATATGAAGAAATGCATGCACACTCGCATAGAAAAAATGACCCCTAGAAAACGATTATTCTAGTGAGATCCTGGAAAAGTATTTAGAAAAAAGTATATAATGAAGTTAATAAATAAAGTTTAAAACTTATCTTGGATATAGTAGTAGTAACAAAGTGCATTGTGAAAAGGATGAGTGTTTAGAAGATGAATGAAACGGCAGCCTAATACTCAGCACCGAAGGTCAACTGGTGATTCAACAAATCATTATAGATCATTGAGAACTAAGTAGATACAATATTGTGCAACAAAACGAAGGATAAATTAGATAGCGCATTAGGAAAATATATAGTAAAACTGGAATAGGTATAAAATTAACAAGTCTATAAGAAGTGATGAAAAAAAATATACCTAATAATAATATTACCTACAGAAAGATGACCATATAGAACAGCTGCGATTACCCTAAACCGTAAAGTAATCAGATAAAGGAAAGTCAGACTCAAAATAGGAAATTACGATCTATAAAGAGCATTGCCAGACTTATTTCACATTATTAATTTGCAATATCAAGCCTTAGATAAAATATGATGAGATCTACCAAAAAACAAAACAAAGTAAGTAATGTTATTCCCCTGATAAAACTAAATGACAATAATGACCTTACAGTATCAATACCTACCCATGATGTTGTAACAAGCCCACATTATGTACTGATCAAATAAGAAGATCTTAAATAAATTTTAATTTGCCGTAGTCACGAAGAGAATTCCAAGGATAATTTTTAATTCAAGATCCGACTAATGGCTCTTTATAAGATTGTGAAAATTAAAATGCTAGAATTGAAATCAATCAAGTAAATACTTTTTTTGCATCTGAAGAAATTAGACAGACCTATGAAGTCATCTACCTGTAGTTGCACTGCCGACACCTTATCTTAGACTCAGTGAAGATCATCTTATCACACTGTGATATAAAATATAATATATGGAAGGACAAGGGATAAAATGAAATAATAACTTATTAACAACCATTATATTCTAATAAATGATTTATCCAATTAATATCTTAGTGCATGGTACACATAAGATGAGTATGAGGAAAATGTAACAATGGAAAATAAGATTTCTTTACATAATCAGTTTTTATAGGAGTATCGTGGATCACAAACTTGTTTATGCCTGTCAGTATAATGGTTAGATAATACAAGGGTAAGAGAAAAGAATTGTGAAAGTTATTATGTAAAATTTTATATTCTAATCAGCTTTACCATTATTATTTTTATTCATTATATTTTTATCAATTTCTTAGTAGCATTATTAATAAAAAACATGTATAAAGAGTCTAAAAATTGAAATTAATAAAGGAAGGAACTCAGTCAAGTCAAACTACTTTATTTTAAATAATAAACCTTGCATGAAAATCTGTTCTATTGAGCGATAGATTTGTCGATTGTCCATTACATTACACAAGATTATAAGCACCTCTTCTAAAAAAAAATCACATATCTGAAAGCATATACTTCACTTCTAGAACTTTATCAGCAAGCAAATTCATTAAAGAAAAGAGAAACTGCCATTCGGGAAGTACAACAATTATGGAATGAATTGAATGACAATAAAAATCAACTTGAGAAGAAATTGAAATTGCTAAAACTTGAGGGTAAATGAAAAAGGATGGAGGCATGACTTTTCTTTCTTAAAGCTACTCTTCAAAATCCAGGATGTGTTATATCAAATTCTGCAGAAGAACAAATACAAGACATCTCTGAAAATTTTAAAGAAGACTCTAAGAATTCTTTGGGGAAATTTGCACTTCAACAACTAGAGAATGGAAAATGTCAGTCCAGTCTAATTTTAGAGAAAAAATTATTCAATTAAATCAGAAACTGCAACAATTTCAAGTTTTAGAAAATAGTGGTATAATTACTGATGAAGATAAAAATAAAAAATGTAAAATTCAAACTGAATTTCAACATTATCAAAAGCTCTTCTCAAATTAGAAAAACAATAACAAACTTAACAAAAATATAGAGATCGAAAGAAACAAAAACTTCAAGAAACAGAAATTAAACTTAAAGAAACAGGTATTGATATACAACTTATTAGACCAACAGTTAGCTATCCACGTTTAAAAGAAACATAACCAGGTTTATTAGAAGCTATTCTTTATATTGTTTCTATAGAAGGACAAGCAGATGAGCAACAACAATTAGAAATAATACAGTCTGTTAAAACTTTGGATCAACTTCAAGAGGCATTAAATAAAATAAATTATAAACTTTTACATTCTGCTACATATCTTAGACTTATTCCAAAGTGATTTAATACAGAAGAAGGAAAACAGCATATCAAAACTGTACTTGTAAAGCTTTTAAAATCATGAAATACTGCAAGAAGAAATCATGAAGATACCTGATTTTGCACTGCTTTAGTTAAAAACATTAAAGAAATGGTATCAATATTAGGTTCTCAAAGTGTTTTAGTAGTTTCTCAAGATGACAAAGCAAGAATACCTTTTGGTTTGGCTGCAACTAATAAACAAACATCAATTTTGATAAGACTGGAATATCGAATAGAACTTTTGAATTATAACTGGATTGTTGCAGAAAAACATAAATTAATTCCTTCAGTTTATGCAATATTAAATATAGAAAATAGATAGAAAATAGTAAATATGGAAATGCTAAAGCAGTAACATATTCAGGTTCAACATTTATAAAAATTCATAGTGGAAAACATGATACTAGTATGGCTTATTCTTATGATAAAGATTTTGATACTCTTATAATTGAAAAGCAATTATATAATTATACTAGAATAACAAACAGACAATTTAAACCAATAATAGTATTATTAACTGATGGCAGTCCTGACAAAAATCCACATTACAAGAAAACAATTCAAGTGATGATTGATTTTTTATTAAATACGATCTTAATATTATCATTACAGTATGTTTTGTACTACATCAAAGTATATCTAATCCAATTGAAAGATAAATGGCACCTTTAAGTCACAATTTGGCTAGTATAATACTTTCTCATGATATGTTTGGAATGTATTTGGATAAACAATTAAAAATAACTGATGAAAATTTAAAGAAATATAACTTTAAAGTGGCTGAAGAAATTTTAGCTTCAATATGGAAAAACACTATTATCAACAATTATCCAGTCTTAGCTAAATATGTGGATCCATCTGAAGAATGTTATTATTTAGAACAAGATGAAAAATCAGTTGCTTGGATAGAAAAACATATTATAGCCTGTCATTATTTTATTCAAGTTATTAAATGTGATGATTTAAATTGTTGCAAATCTTTTCACAATAGAATTCGACAACTTTTTCAAAATTATTTTTTTCCACCATTAATTATAATTCAGCAAAAATCACATAAGATCTGTGTAGCTAGTATAGATACAATTAATGATACAATACATTTTAGTAATTTTTTTTTATCTATAGTAATGGAGGGGAAACTTTTTCCATCAGAAATGAATTTATGATATTTTTCTTTCGATTGGTATTGTCCAACTATTAATAGGTCAATTGATAAATATCTTTATATCCATTGTTATCGATATTTCGATTTAAAAGGATCCTTAAAGCATTATATTTGAAAATGCTCATATAAATCATCTGAATTAATTGTAAAATCAGTTACGAATATACAAGATTTTCAAGGTATAGACTATTTGACAGATATTATAAATAATATTACAACTATTTATAATTATTGAAATAATAAATTTTTAGTTAGTAACAAAGATGGAGAAGCAACATGGATAGAAAAAAAAATAGTACCAGAAAATTTATCAAAACCATTTTTAGAACAGATACAAGTTCAATTGGATCAAGCACTTATTATCAATTGGACTACATGGAAACATGAGTAGACAAATAATGAATAAATTTTTATTAAAATAATATAATATTAAAGTAAAAAATCAAAAAAATTTTTTTTATTTAATTTAAATAATATAATTTTTTAATAATAATCAACTGTTTGCATATCTTTTTTCTATGTAAAAATTAGCTATAGTAATACAGGTGCATAATATGATATTTATTCATCAATATTATTATAATCAGGGTGAGACATCACTATCTGGTTTAATCAGATCGATGACATTATACCAATCATATTGCAATTAGTAACAGATAGGCATTAAGTCTTAATAAAATAGTATGTAAGTGGCAACCAATTACATTGCAATTAGCAATAGACAGATTTCCATTTTAAAGTGCATGACACTCTTTGTATATATGACATACAAACAATCCCATTGGATATAGCAGATAAACATTAAAATTTTAATATAATAGATTTACTATTGCATTATAGAAGAGAGGGAGTCAAGAGGTTCTATTTGATCCATATAACGTTATTTATAGATGCCGCCTAAGATCAACTAATCAGTAACTTTATCAATCATTTTTCAGAAAATCTGGTGTAATCAAAAATTCAAAGTTAAACTGAGGTAGATAAAATTTTTTAAAAAAACCAGAAAAAAGAAAGCATACTTGAGAAAAAAGAAGTATAAAATCAAAGAGATGATAAAAAAACTGGAGACTTCTTTATTCTTGTTTTTTTGAATTTTTAAATTTCTTGGAAGCCTTTAGAAAATATTTTTTCTTGTTAGTTTTCTTCTTAAGAAGGTGTTTTTGCCATAGGTTTTTTAAATAGATTTTTTGTATTTAGTCACAAAAATAAACAAGAAAAGTGGTTTGAAAAAAAAAAAATAAAACAAGTAATAGCTGCTGTTCACTTTGCTAGTTAAGAAATTGATATTGTTAAAGAAAATGTATAGACTTTATTATCAAAAAAAATAAAATCTTTTGAGAACATCTATTTTTTGGATTGGTAAAAGAATTAGCAGAAAGAATTTAGACTTATTGAATTGATATATAAGAGATATTTTTTTTTTATAATATATATCTTGATATATACAAATCAACTAAAAAAATAATATTTATCTATAAAAAAAATAATCTCTAATTAAACTTAATTCTTTATATAGTTAATTTGTATTATTTATTATATTACTTATTTGTGATTAGGTAAATATTGAATTTGAATAAAGTATATAGTTAATAAGTACTATATATGTTTTCTTATTATTATAAAAAAAAACTTAATCAACAATATAATTCTGAATTAAATATAATTTTCAATTATTTATTATACAGTATATTATTTAATAATTTTAATATAATATGATTTTTGAAAAATATTTGAATTTCATTTCACTATATATATAATAAATATATTTTTTTATATAATAATTAGTTTTTTTTAAACTTGTAATTAAATTCTAAAAGAAAATTAATATTGCTTATAAAATTATATAATATATTAATTTTATTAATATATTATTATTAAAATAAGAATTAATAAGTTGATTATATTTTTAGATTTGTTATAATTATTATTTGTAATAATTGTATAGTAAAAATTATTTACTTATATTATATTTTTGTTATATTTGTTTTTTTTTTTTTTTTTCCCGTAGTCAAACAAGTACGTACTGTTTATTAAATCTATACAGAAAACAAATAATGTATA